TATATAAGTTAGCTACTGATTACTTTTGGCACTGGAGGAATCGAATCGTAGAGTTAATCTGGATAAATTGCTCTACCATAATAAAAACGTAGTTGAACTGCGCTTCCAGTCTAAACTGCAAGCTTCATGGCGAGTGTAGATGATGAGCAAAGCATTTCCGTGGATACTTTTTCTGGTGACAGTGACATATCTCTTGTTTTCCGTACCTGTATAGCGTCTTAGGCTTGCTAGACTATTCCACTCATGATTGGGCCTATTCATTTGATCTTCGGTACGATCTGCGAATGTATGTTCGATGGCGATTTTTACTTTCGTACAAAACGCACCGATCCCGGTGGTTGTTGTGCAGCGTGGATGAGGAACTGCAGTTCGTGTTCGGATATTCCAAGTGAAAATGACTCCCTGTATAACGGGGTACCGACTGATTGGTTTTTTCGTCGTATTAACGCTGTCCCACTTCGGTCAGTTTACGATAAATCGAACCGTTATTTGTCTCGTTTTATTTTTCGATTCGTAAGTGCTGGAAATGTCTAGGAAGTAGTTTTTTCCCCTCATTCATGATTGAAGTTGAGGTCCCGCGCCGAAGATGTTTCTTCTATGTATAATGATGATGGCGACGAGCCAAAACGAATCACCAAACTAATATCTAAGTAGCGTTCGTACAGCTGGAGTTGATTGATGTATTGAGCTGCTTATGAATTCGTCTTTGCGGTGAATCTATCAGCCAATTTCGAACCTAATGCACCACTCATTTTGACACTACCGATGTGACTTCAGTCCCAGAAATGAAATCAACCGTCTTTTTTCCGTCTAAGATTGACCTCCAACATAGATGACTTCTGCACGCATCCATTTAAATCGGTGTCGTATTTCGATGCATCTGTAAATTTAAGTATAATGTGTTGATAATTTTTCCTTCTACACTTTCTGGTTTTCGGACTCGGTGGTGTTCCATCCGCTTATAACAAGCAATAAGGTGATCACTGGTAGGCGAAAACTTGTACGTGGTAATTTGTCCACGCCAGGCTTGGTCATAATTCAGTTGGGTAGTAAAACAACAGAAGTTGATGAGTTCTCCGAATAATTTTTCTTTTACAAAGCGTCGTTTTTTAACATACCGACATATCAAAGGCTCCCGTGTATGTCATTCATAAATAGGTAGGTTTTATGCTAAATTATTCCAGGATAGCAGTTCGGTGTTGGATTGAAGATGAAGAAACGTTCACATAAAAGAGTTTCCTTTTGGTGACCGACTAAAGTTCTGTATTCTTACATGGGTTGAAATAGCTTTGAAATTATCCTGGAAGCATTTTCGCCGACAAGCCTCACTTCTGTTAGCAACACATTGTCCTTCAAACATCTAGTCTGTGGTAGAAGTGGGTGTTCCAGACAAGCCGGTATTTCTGTTGTTTCATCTTTTGTCAAACAGTTCGGGTAATTCGCCGGCTTCATAGTTCATTCTATTAGACTGTCGTCAATAATTTAGTTTCGTCTCGTTGTTCAGGCCTCCCTGCTGGGTAGGAACGTTGCCGAAAAATTCTTTTGTCCACCTTATGTGGTCTTATGCGAGAACCTTGGGGTTGCATCAAAAGGAGAGCTATGAACAAATTGAACTTTAATGTGAAGTTATGTTGGAAAATCGTCTATTTCTTTGTACTGTTTGCAGTACAAACCTATCTCCTTTCCGTTGAACGTTCACTAAGTATAATTGAGTTCGGCCCCTGGAGTTCACCAATCCTTGCCTCAGTAATAATACGTAGCTGCATGGGTAGGATATTAGTTGTCCTGTTTGAGTTTGCAGCAATGAATAACGCGAGTTCCCGGCCAGAGACTCACTGTCAGTTTGTTAGTTCTCCGAGTAGGGTAATCTGGTTGAAAACGTTTCGTTGTCGGTCGAGATAGTGGCATGTTTGTAACCAGATTATCCAGCTCAATGGACGAATCAACATCTGTCCTTCAAAATCTAGATTTAAGGTCACCTTAGACTCTGCATTTGACGCTTAATCTAGGATACTAATATCTTAGCTATTAGTATCGAGTGATTCACACGTCTAAAACTATGATTTTGAGGTGGGTCCTAGTCATAGCGAGCTTAGTGTTCATTGTCACTAAATTTTGAGCAGTCCTTTTTATTCCGTTCTCACATGGACGTGTCAACGACCGGAGGATAAATCAAGGTAAATCAAGGTTATATTGGTCTAAAAAGCATTTTGCTTTACAATGACCAAAGGATATTGGTGTGTGTGTATGTATACAGGTAAACGGAATGATATGACATATATGTTCTATTGTTTGTAATCTGCATCTCAAATGTTGATGAGGGAAGTTGGGTGAGATCTTATGTATTCGTCAAGCGAATGTTTGAAAGTCTCGAGGTTACCACAATCCACAACAGATGTTGATAGTTTGTTCCACGTGAGGGATACGCGGATTGAAAAAAAGTAGCGCCGACAGTTAATGCGGGAACATGGAATGTCAACGGCCAATGGATTCCGTCGGGTCTGTCGGGCCAAATTAACTGTGAACAAATGTT